GATGTATTTTACTCCAGTTAACATTCTGTGAGGTTTGATTCTATGAGTGCTTGGTGAAAAGAAATAAATTGAGTTGAAAGACTAATTACTTTGTATACCTAATAACATAGTTATTCTTGACACCCCTTTTAAACGACTTGGATTGCTAGCTGACTCTTTTACGATGTTGAGTTCTTCTTTTCATCAAATTTGTTGTTTTTCTTCCACAATGTAGGGTAATTTTAATTTTACATCAACATACAACAGCATTACACAAAAATTCGAGAGTTCTCTTACTGCAAAGGGAGATCTATGGAGAGTTGAAGCATCACAAGGCCGGTCCACATCTGGAAATGAGAGCTCTTCTTTATTCCTACTCCAGCTTGGACCAGTTCTATTTGTTCGTGACTCGACACTTCTTCTACCTGTCCACTTGTCAAAACAACATTTGCTTTGGTATGGCTATGACAGAAAGGTATGACCAGGTTGATTTATAACTTCTAAGTATAGCTTATGTAGTAGGTGATGTGCTCACAATTTTGTCTCTAAACACTGAATATAATCCCCCCCCAACATATTATTTATCAATGTATTCTCATACCTTAACCTAGCATAAACGGATAAGTGATAAACATAACATTTTGACTGTCATTGATGGACAGCATGGAATGCATTCTCTTTGTCCGGCTGTATGGTCAAAGCAGCGGAAGTGGCTGTGTATGTCGATGATCTGTCTCAGCCCTCTTTCTTGTGTAAGTCTCAGCTTTTGATTTTACGCTAGCTGTTTGTTTTTTCATTTTGGAAGGAAAAGGAAATGACCTATGTAGGTGCTATTTTGTATTCCAAGTAAACTAATGGATCTTTGCACGTCCTCTCTAGTCATTTATGGACTTACAGTTTCCAAACGGTCAGTTCACTTACATATCTGGGGAGGGCATATCTACCAGTGCTTTTGTTCCTCTGTGTGGAGGCTTACTTCAAGTTCAGGGTCAATGTCCAGGTGACATCAAGCTCAGTTACTCTTGCAAGGTAAGTTTTTAAAATTTGAAGCTGTAAGGGGAAGAGTACAGTATTGTCTCTAATAAAAGAATAAGCCAGTGACTAAAAGTGGTATTTATTATACATGTTTGCAGAATAAATGGGGAACATGCATTGCACCAACACTGCAGTGGCCTGACAAATCATTCACCCTGGGGTTTTCCCAGCCATTGGCTTGGAAGAGATCTGGTCTCATGTATAGGCCAAATATTCAGCTGAGGTAGGTAGATCGTTTAATCTACATTTATACTGTCCTATGTATTTTGCTACTCCTTCCAGCCTTATTTCTCTTTCCACCTATTGAAGTTTGTTGCGGTCCTTTTTATCCATTTAGTAAGTACAGAGAGCATTAATTACTCCGTTTCAGTTTTACTCAAAAGAATTTAAATTAAATTGTATTAAAAGTATAAACAAAAAGTAAATCATTATTTTTGTGATGTGTGCCTAAGTATGGTCAATTTTAGTAAGTTTGAATATGTTGTGATTGAATAAGAAAATCATGTAACATTCTTATGTTATATGTGTGACTTTAACTCGGACAGATAAATATATGACCAGATGAAGTATGACTTAACACACCCTGTAGTGTACTTAAAAGATCATAGCACGTAGCTTTATCCAAAAAGAAGTTGTTTACAAATTCAATATGATAAGCTTAGTTAGACCAGAAAATAATTTAAATCATTTTTGGATTGCATGTCTTTTAAGAAGCTGTACCATGCCAAAATTTAAAAGTTGTTTCTTGAGAAAATATACTTCTTTTCTGGGAGGGAGAAGTATAGTGTGTAATATTAAACACACTTGACCCTTTTTTTGTGTACTTGACTTTTTTTTGACGTTATTATCAGTTTATGCCCCACGTATGGTGGAAGCAACCCTGGGGTTCAAGCAGAGCTTACTCATTCTCTTGGGAATGAGTTGAATCTCATCTGTGGATGTGCACTTGCAAGACATTCTTCTGCTTTTGCATCGTTATCTGTAAGTCGAGGAATCACAATTCTGATGCTTTTACTCAAGGAACATTTGCAGCGTTTTTGTTGAAAGTTTTCTCCAAAAATAATCTGTGACTGCAAAAATAATTAATGAACATTGTTTTCTGGTCTTCTTACTTCTGATTGTACATGGCATTGTCTTGAAGGACTTGATGATTAGTTTTTCCCTCTTAATTGTAGTCCTTCAAATATAAAAGATCACACCTATAGACATACCTGGTGCCTTTTGCACTTGTATGTACCCCTGTTAATGCGAGAAGCTGATCTTCTTAAAACCATTTCTTCCATGGTTCTAATTAGCTATGGCAACTTTTGAGTATTTGAATAATGATCATCGTTCTTCCATGCTTGCAGCTTGGCCGATCCAAGTGGAATGGAAATGTTGGGAGCTTAGGTGCGGTTTTGAAGATCGAAACTCCTATTGGACGTGCTGGCAACCCTTCCTTGTCCTTGCAATTTAATAGCGGGTTTGAGCTGTGACTAGTATTTAAAAAAAACATGGGCGTTTGATGATTATCATCTGTGTACATTTAACTGTTGAGGAATGCTAGGCATACTCTTCTATGCACTCTTAATGGGAAAGAGTGCTTAATAGGGAGTACCATAGAGAGAAGCTATCATTCCACATAACTTTTTACCTTCCCATCACCCCCCTCCTTTTGGCAATGAAATGTTAATAGCTAATAGCTTGATGTCATAGCACGAAACTTACATTGTGAATAATAAATTAATAATAAACGCAGTATTATTTGCCACTTTAACTACATAGTTCAACTTATTGCCTTTTTCCACGATGGCTTCTGTATGTTGTTACTACTCACTAATCTGAGTTAGTACTGAAACTTGTGCTAAAGACTGAAGTTTGTAACTACTTGAACTATATGATTACCGACACTCGCATTTAAAATGTTTAGCATCACGGTATAACCTTACATCATTACACCAACATAACAAACTTAAAAGTTAATAAAAGAATTTCCAACAGCCACAATTCCACAAAGCATTTCTACCATTTAGTTTTGCCCTCCAGAATTCTTTTTGTTAGCTCTGAGAGCCCTTAGCCTCGCTCCGGAATGCAGAAGTGGACAGCAAAAGATCAGAGCTAACATGACCCGATTAAGGATCGCCAAAATGCCAATCCACACAAACAAGCTTCTTCTCCAAATCTCCAGTTCCATAAAGGCCTTCTCAACTAGGAAGCCGACTCCATGCTCAATGATGCAGAGTAGATATCAGGTACGCCGGACCTGACTTGGTAATCAGCCTTCTGGTTAAGACTCACACGATAACAGGTTGTCCCATCAGTCATGTGATCAGTGATGTCAATCTTGAGGTTTTTGAAGTCTGTTTGGATTCTTAAGGGAGTTTTGATTGTTGTCTCGGCTGGCTCTTGAATTTCAGCATGATTGGCCAGCTAGAGGTTTCTATCACTTTGCCTTCTGCTGCTGCTGCCTCTCCGTCCTCACCTCCATGTGCAAAATTTGATGCTACTTGTAGGTAGTTATTTGGAAATCGGAATACACTGCATCAAGAGGCCTCCCTGATTGGACCTGGTCCCAGATCTAGAGCTGGGCTGGATCAGTTTTCTGGTCAAGAGACGCACCAATAACTGGGTTCAAACCGTGGTTCCTTTTTTGATAGGTTAAAATCGGCCCGGAGTTGACCCAAGAACAGCGATGGGAAAAGGCTGGGAATAGCCGGCTTTGGTTTGTACCTTTATGTGGCCCGGAATCGGCGTCTGTAACCATAACCAGTTGAGCCCATCTCTGGATACACATTTGTTCCACTAATTCCTAGGGGTAGGGGTGGAGTCTCTTTTATTTTAAAACGGGAACTGGAATTGAAGTCAGCATGAACACCGAGAAAGTTACCCATGGTTCCATTTAAGGTTACAACTTTTTCAAGACTGGGATTTATCCACCTGCACCGGCTGCAATAAGAATCGATCGGCACATATCCACCATTACCTAGGGGTGAGCATGTGTAGCGTTTGGGTCTGTCGTGTTCTAAGCCCTATTATGAAAACAAGGAAAGCTCCAATGTTTAAATGGAGGGGCTTAAAAGTTAAAACCAAACCCGAAACCTTTGAACCACTTCTGATTTGGTGACTCATCTTACCCAATTTTCAGCTTTTTTTTTTAAAATATACCTGGAAGATCCAAAGCTTCTTGTTGTATCTGACTCAGGCATTGTCAACGAGACAGTGAGCTTCAACTTATGGCTGCCAGGAAAGGTATGCTTTCCGGCAGCCACCTTCGCGTTAAGAACATCATAGACAGTTGAGGAAGCAGTGGGTACAAAAGCTTTTTGTAGTCAACTGTCAAAGTTCAAGCTTGCAGTGATCTGTATAGGCTCCTCCACCAAATGCCTCATGAGAAAGGCCCCTATAACATATCCTAACACAAATAACCCAACCAGAATGAAGCAAACATAGGTTGACCAGAAAACTGCCCTACAAAGTCTCACTGCCAATTACAATAGGTTCTTTTGCGCCTTAAACGGGTGGATAGCGAAGGGAATTTCATTGAACTGAGAGTGGGTCTATTTTTGCTGCAACATTCTCTTCAAATCGTCTTTAACCAATATCAGGGCTTGAAATGGATGTGCCAAAATGAAAAGCCAAAAGCTTGATACAGGAAGTGGGACTTCCAAGAGTTTAGCTACTTCACTGTTGCCTTCAATGCCATGGTTATTCTCGGGGCCTTGACTCATTCATTGCAGGAGGAATTTGAGAAAGTATACTGAGAATTGGTGAGTTCTTGGAGAGAGCTAATAGGTTTTCAGAAAGAAACGATTCTGTTATTTTGCCTGGTATGCTTTAACTTTTAGATTGTCCAGACTGGATGGGTTATTAGGCCATGACAATAACCTGTGTTTCCTGGTTTGTGCTTCTTCAGTAGAATAAGGAAGTACATAGTAGCTATTATCTACCACGTTTTTTTCATTGTCAATGAATTCATATCATGCAGTCAACTAAATTACAACAAAATTGGTAATAGTTAAAAAAACTAACTAGTAAAACTCATAAGTAGAAACTAGAAACACAAGCAAGACTTCTTTTATTTATCATCTATTACAGTATTACAGAGATGTTACAATTAATAAAATGGATGCATATAAGATAATACTCCATAGCAAACTTATACGAGTATATAATTTAAAAAACATTTATCCTCCCATGCTTTTGATTCCCAGGCTCACTTGCACATCAAAATAATGTCTTTTCCATACTTAAATCTTTTGTTCTCAAAGATATGCTGACCGATACACGACAGTACCATGACTAGTCACCTGCCTGTCGGACCAGGCAGTGTTTTTCATAGCATTACAACTGAAACTATTTTGGATTCATAGAAATCAGCATTCATTCGCTGTTAAAAAGATCAAAAAATACAATGTCAGTATCCATTCACTCTTAAGTCAACATATTGATCCTCTTGTCACGTATCGGCAAATCAATTGGTTTCTGTGCCTGGTGAGGATGCTCTGCTCCTTTATACACCTTAAGATGGTTAAATAATTGTCTGCCCAGCTGCATTCACATCGTTAAAGGCACATTAGAATCAAGAAAATCATGACCATCAGATTTTTTTAAATGCCAATTCCTCTCTTCTCAACTAGATGGAAGCATATGACATGTTAAGTGGAAAGTGGAAACTCAAGTCTCATGCAATTAAAATGACACGCTGGCATGCTGCTTTAGGACTGGTCTGTTTAAGTGTGGTCTAGCCTGTTTCAATTCGATATTATGTTAGTGTTATTAGTGTCTAATATTGGTTTAAGTGTTGTGTGGTCTGTTTCTTTTTAATATCAGACTGATCTCGTTTGAACTGTTCAAGTCTAGTGAGGACTGATGGTCTGGTCAGAAACTAAACTGATACAAGTCCAACTGAACAGGTCTTTACACCACAAGAGAGCAAATCATATACTTTTTGCATACAGGCCATACACGTTTACAACCTTGAGCTCTGCCTAATCTGAATTTGCAACAGGGGCATTATTATTTCTCTCCTATGATAAGGCTATGAAATGTGATAACTAAATAAAATGTGTAACGAATATAGATACATTTTTCTGACAACAAAAGATACAGAAACTGCTCGAAACTGACACACGGAACATGACATAATACAAGCATGCTATTCTGTTTCCTGCTCATTGCATACAGTACAAAGAGACCTCAATGTAAATAATAGGGAAAGAAAATACTGATAAGGATGGACATACTTACCCTTCCTTTGGGAAGCATCCCTCGCACTGCATGCTCAATGATCCTTTCAGGGATCCTTTTCTGCAGTTGGTCAAAGGTCTCCTCTTTCATACCACCCGGTCTCCCCGAATGCCTTCTGTAAATCTTCTGTGTCCTCTTCTTTCCAGTTACTGCTACTTTTTCAGCATTGACCTTGTTGGAGGTTCAGGTATAATAGAATTGTAAAACAGTCAACCAGAGTAGTACACATCTTTTTAGTCCAAAATAATGAGACTGCATTTTAATAGGCGTAAAAGGTAAGGGAGCAATCACCTGAACAAGAATGGCCCAGAATAGAAGTAGAAAACATTTCATTCATATGTAAGATAAACACGTACAAAAAACATTGTGAAAACGTAATTTCAGAGATTCCATATCTTATAATTTTGAATTTTTGCTTCAAGTAACTTCTCACGTAATATTGCATTGTGGGTATTGGAAAATATAGGCAGAAATGGGGTAAGATTGGAGGGGACTTGGGGTGGATCAATGATGCGTAAAGCCCGCTTGTTATGCATCTGACACATTATCTGGGAAACATCTGATTTATGATCTTTTAAAAAATAAAACACATGTAAGTTACAAGGAGATGGCAGATATATCTACTTTAGTCTTTTTTAAAACAAGTCAACAACTTTAGATATATGATAGTATATCATTGCCAACATGACACAAGCAGCCGGTTTTTTTTAACATTTCTTTTGTTATTTATTCATTCTTTATTTTTAGTATGTTTGAAACTTCGGGTGCTAAAGTACAAAGAGTATACGATTCTATTTAGACTTGAAAGTTTTTAACCAAGTCGAATGGGAACCTGGGAAGATAAACGTTACTGCTTAGCTTTGGATACTAAGGATAAAAATCATAAAATGGTTGAGCAACTAGCAAATTTGTCATTGCTCATCTCAGAAATACAACTTAAAATAAAATTAGAAAAAAATACCGTTAAACGGACTCATATTATCAACCAACACAAACTAGTGTAAAGTTGTATCTGCCACTTCACCATCAATCACTTCAAGGTAGAATTGTAGAGTAAAAGAAACACTTTTAACAACATAAATGCATACCACCACAACAAAAGCACCCATATCCACACTAGGAGTATATGTTGCCAGGTTCTTTCCTCGAATATAATTAGCTATAGTCGAAGCCAATCTTCCCAGTTTCTTTTCAGCAGCATCAACAATATACCATGGCTTTTCTGTGTTCACGTGATCAATAGCCTTTGGATACCATGTTTTATTCCAAACATCCTGGAATTGAAAAGAAGGATATCTGAGGTGAACTGTATTAACTCAATACCTATCTATTCAAACATCTGCGAGAATCAAATCAATGAATGACAATTTTAATGTAACCAAGAAATCCAGTTGAGAAATGGCAAATTCATTGAGCAAACAAGTTCAGGATACTGTACATTCTTAAGATGAAAGCATAACTAAAAACTTCAAAACACAAAAAAAAACTATATTTCATCTTCCAACAAATGCAACTCCTATTTCTTAAGCGGCAAATAGAATTCAAGTCATTAAGTCTCAAATGTCAAACCCTATGATGATGGAAAATTCTTTTATCCCCTTTTACACCACTAAAGAATGCAGTTGATATGGCAATAGAAAATGCAAACTTATGATTCTAAGTGGCAAATATAACATAAAATATACTCCGAATCTTTTCAGATTTCCACTATGCCACATCTAGTACTTTACTTCTGTAACCTCTCCACTGGATCCCAATCATAGAATCAAAACCTGGAAACTCTTCGAGAATCCTTATTAAAGTTTGCACACATGAAGTCAAGAGCCAAACCACAGGATAATGCAAGAAAGTTGCATAGTGCCATTTAGACTGTAGATACTAGATAGCCATTTGATCTCTACTTCAAAATTCTCTCAATGAACTAAGATTATATTCTTACGCATAAAAAATGATACGTAGTACTTTTTACTTTTTAATCTTTATTTATCTTGTAATGCGTGTACTGCTAAAAAATGTGACTATAAAAATTAACCCATGCAATTTATTTAAGCTCCCGAATAAAAAGGGGACGAATTCTAAACAGATTCCAAATTGTGACCTCCATAAGACCACAATATAAAAGTGGCGACACTCGAAAAGGGCGGAATTTAGGGTTTTTACCGGGCCTTTGAAACCGGTCTCGTCGAACATCCACTGTTGCTCGGCAGGGATAAGAGCTGCTTGACATTGGAAACGGATGTTCGTCGTCCTATGGGTCCGGATGAGAGGTGATGGTAGTTGAACGGACGGCTTCGATGAAGCGACGGAAAACCCTGTAAGTAGGGCTTTCTTCGGTGCAGAAGGGAATGGGTTTGTTGAGGACGGAGTGAAGCACTGTAAAGCAGCCATTACTATGCCTCCCAGACTCTGTTTGAAACCAGCTATGGTGTTTTGAAGTGGATAAGATAAATGTTTTTGCATTCACCCATTTGAGAAGCCAATTCTTTCATTTGATAACAACTTACTTACTACATACTATCCTATTATGCAATAGAGCTCTATGTATTTGAAGCTTGGTTTGGTTAAGGTTTTGTATAACAAATTTATTGTGTTGAAATAATTTGATATTTATAAGATAATTAAAATAATACTCCCTCCTTCCCAAAAAGGTTGGTCAAATTTAACTTTCACGTGGATTAATAAAGTAAAAACTGTGTGGTTGAAATTTGTGCAGAGAAGGAGAGAGAATTAATTTTAGTTGCATATTCCTTACTTTAAATGGAAATGACAAATCGTTTTGGGACATCCAAAAAAGAAAATTTGGTCAACATTTTCGGGAAGGAGAGAGTAGTTATTACAAAGGCTCTGTTTGGAAAACGTCTGATAAGCCGATTTTTGGCTTCTTTGACCAAAAATAGTTGGTTTGACTGTTCAAACAGCTGATATTATCGTTTGGTAATGAGCTGCTTCCTTTGGTTGTTTGGACTTGAACAGTCAAAAACAAAAACGCTACTGATAGCAACGTTCTGATATGGCTGGTGCCGCTAAATCCTTTTTCACCCTTCATTATTCTCTCTTACTTGAATTCCTTTTTCTCTTGGTGATTTGCTTTGGGGTTCTTGATCACCGATTCTCTGTTTTTTTATAATGGAATTCTTTCTTTGGTTATGACAGCTGATTAGCAATAGCTGATTGTATCAGATGTTTTAGTTGGTTGATTATATTAGCTCGTTGTCAACGAGTGTTTGATAAATTAGTTGTTTAAGAATACTTGTTTGTGAGTAAAAAGACATACAAGGACATTAATATTTAATTTAATTTTTGCTTAAGCATTTCAAAAAATTATAGGCATTATTTTCAATTGCAAACAAATCATATACAGAGTATTAAAAATGGATAGAGACGATTTAAGATATTTAGTAAAATATGATTTAAAAACATTCTTTCAATACGGAGTACTCCCTCCGTCTCGGTCATTTCTTTCGGTTTTGACCGATATCGCAAATTTATGCAAAAAGTTAAAGGGATTGACTTTCCCTTTATACCCTTGGCCGAATGGGGTAAATAGAAGGGCAAAAGTTGAGATAAAAACTTTAATAAAGTGGGAAATGATTAAAAATAGATTGATTGACATGTGAATAATAACCACTATTCACATTTGACTAAGTTATGCATACATTAGGCGTCAATCCAAAAAAAGGAGGAAGATTACTTTTTGGTTCCTTACATATACCAGTCCCTCCTAATTCCCTACACACACGCGCACTTCCATCACACACTCCACACACACGCACACTTACAGACACTCCACACACACACTGAAAACTAAAAAAGGAAGCTTCCATGGCTGGTTTATCTTCCACAGCTGCAACTTCTTCTTCATTTTCTTCAGCTTTTTGCACACCAGGACCCCTAGACTTGCAAATAGTAACAAGCCATGATCATGGTGATGCAGTGGGGAGGAAAAAAGGCTTTCAAACACTCAAAAAGACAGCATAACACATGTACTCTTGATGCCTAGTAGGAGGGATTCTTTGGGGTACTTGAAAGCTCAGAAAGGTATTTTTTGTCATACTTGCTGAACAGTATGAAGTGTCCAGAAGAACTATTTCTGGCATTTGGGAGACGGTTAAAAAGAAAGTTGTACAAGGTGATGCAGTAAATGTGTGTAGGAAGTACCATGGCAGAAAACGGATAAAATTTGATCTATCTCAGGTATCACATATCCCACTGCATAAAAGGACTAACATAAGGTCCTTAGCAGCTGCCACCTCAATATCAAAGTCAAGTTTCCATAGATTGGTTCAAAGTGGTAAGCTCAGAAGGCATACAAATACAATAAAGCCATTTCTAAGTGATGCAAATAAATTGCACAGATTGAAGTTCTGTCTTAATCAGATAGAGAAATCAGTGCCACAGAAGCCTACTTTTCAAACATTTCAGAATGTGATTCACATTGATGAAACATGGTTTTTTCATGACAAAAACATCTTAAAGATTATACATGGGGTTGTAAGAGACCGATCCACACAGAGTATGCAAATCAAAGAGGTTCATAACTAAAGTAATGTCCCTAGGTGCAGTGGGTAGGTCCTTTTTTCATAAAGTGGTGAGGTCATTTGGGATGGAAAAATAGACATGTTTCCATTTGTTGAACATGTTACATAAAAAAGAAGAAGCAAAAACATAAATGCAGGTGTTATGGAAACCAAGCCTATTCTTAGCATAACAAAGAAAGTGTTCAAGGACATGTTAATCAACACAGTCCTCCAGCAATCAAGGAAAAATGGTCTCCACAGTTAAGCAAAGAAATCATAATACAACAAGACAATGCAAGGCCACATATTTCACATGATGATGCAGAGTATATATGAGTGCTTCCATGACTGATGGGTTTACTATCAAGTATCACCCTTACTAACCAGCCCCCCAATTCTCGAGACCTTATCATCCTAGACCTAGGGTTTTTTTAGGGCAATACAATCTTTGAAAGACCAGAATGCACCCAAGACAGTGGATGAACTGTTACATGCAGTGGATGATGCTTTCAAACAACTATCACCTATGACTCTAAACAAAGTATGGCTAAGCTATCAACATGTTATGATTGAAGTTCTGAAAGTGCAGGGAGGCAACAATTACAAGCTACCACACAATGCAAAGGATATGATGCAGTGAGAAGGGATACTTCAAAAAACAATTGAGGTAGATGTTGAATTATTGGAAGCAACAAAACAGATTCTAGGGCAACGAGCAGGGGATACTGAAAGTTAGGGGAACTTCATAATTGAAGATGATGATGATCATCATCATCTTCAGTGATGAAGTACATGGTCAGACATAATAATAGGCCTTAAATTTTTTGTTTTTTGTAGAAGCCTTAATTTTGAAAGACAGTCAGACATTTATAATTAGTACTAACATGTTCAGACATTTTGTAATAGATGAAGCATACTCATACCTTTTGTAGAAGTACAAGCATAGTCAGACATTTTGTAATAGTAGAAGCATAGTGATCTAGCAATGGTCATAATGATTTCATCATTTTGGGACAACAACATCATACTCAGACCTTATGAATAACTACTACATCAGCATACACACCACACACAAGTACTGATCATCATATGGTACAGACTAAAGTACCATATCACATGGTATTGGTCATCATAGTATGCATAAAGTACCACATCACAGAGTCATGGTCATCACAGTATGCTTAAACTACCAAAATACTTTCATATGCTCATCATAATATGCATAAAATACCACATCAGAGGGTCATGGTCATCACAGTATGCATTAACTACTGTTGAATACGTTTGTTTTGTTGATGACTACCCATACAGGGGAACGACGGATAGAACTGCTCACAGTTCCTTGTTGTATACGATTGTTTTGTTGATAACTAACCATACAGGGGAACGGCGGATAAAACCGCTCACAGTTCCTTGAGTAACAGGAACGAATGGATATTACTAATTTGATTGACTAACCACGCAGGAGAAACTAAAACACAATCCGTGATATGATTTGAGTTAATACGGATTGCACCTACTTGTTCGTTTATTGCTATGATTTCCTTATATAAGTAATTATTCTCTTTCCACAATTGATATAGCTTAAGTATGGTACGTAAAATATTCCATAGCTACACGGTTGTGACAGAATAAAATCTGGTTGAAATATATTCCATATCTAAATGAGTTGATTGCTTATGTTGAGAAAAATATTCTTACCTTCTTGAATATTGACCAAAGTCTACCTTATTCGGTAATTAATTGATTGACTCAAAAAGATGCACGAGATATTTGTATCTAGTCTTAGTCCAGGGCCGATATATATGATGGTTAATCCGACTGCCTTAAACATTGAGCTCGAATATGGGAAGTATTATAAAGAAGGAAAGCAATTCAAAATATGGGGGCAAGTCCCAAGATTAGAAGATCAACTATTCAAGGAAGGATGCTTAAACGGTCTGCCCAAGACAGCCTATATAAACGAAGAAGCCAAAGAGAAATGAGGTGTGCTTGACCAAGCTTCTATTGAGATATATACACTAGAATACTTACTAAGTCCAAGGCACCTGAACCTGCTCACGGAGTTCCAGACTGAGTTTCCTTTTCTTTCTTCTTATTGTAATTGGGTTTTTGAGGATTGGCTAAGTGTAGCATCCTCGGGTCGGTTAGTGTGTTGTGAGAACTTTGTTGTAAAGCTGAGAGGCTCTCTACCCGCAAGGTAGAGATGCGTAATTCTTCCTAGAGAGGATAGAGTTGGGGTGGCTCAAGGGTAGACTAGAAGAGTTTCCCTTGTAATCATTCAAAGGCTTTTTAGTGAAGTTGTTCAAATTCCTCCGAGGGAGGTCGAGGTTTTTTTAATCCCTTTGAGCCAAGGGATTTTTCCTCGTTAAATCCTTGTGCACTTTATTATTTCATAATTCCCTAGACCCCACACTAGAACTGTGCGAAAAACTGCCACGGTTCCACACACACACAATTCACCCCCCTCTTGTGTTGCTAACCGTTTCATCAATTGGTATCAGAACCGGTCTTCACCACATAAAGGTTAAAACCTTGGGAAGAGATCCGGCAGCATGAATACGGTTGAACGATTGGAGGAAGGATACTCGACTCAACGACCACCGTTGTTCAACGACAAATTTTATCAATTCTGGAAGAGTCGAATGGAGAACTTCATCAAGGCTGAGAACTACCAGGTATGGAACGTAATTGAGGTAGGCGATAACATCATCACTAAGGAGGATGCCGAAGGTAAGGTTATTCCTAAACCCAAATCTGAATATACTTCTGATGATTATTGTAAACTCGAGCATAATGCTCAAGCATTGAAATATTTGATTTGTGGACTTGGTCCGACTGAGCACAACCGGGTTCTTGGATGCAAATCCGCAAAACAAATGTGGGATTTACTTGAGGTTACGCATGAGGGTACCTCGCGTGTAAAAAGATCCAAAATTGACATATTTATGCGTAATGACGAATTGTTCGTGATGAAGCCTAAAGAGTCAATTAGGGATATGATTACACGCTTTACTAATATTATTAATGAGCTCTCAGCACTTGGAAAAGACATTACTGT